AAAGAAGGCTTGTCACTTTCTCCCCAGTTACTTATTTAATCAATAAACGTGGCAGAATGTTAAACCTTAAAAAGACTTTCCACAATAAAAAGAGATACAGTTTTAATTTGATAAAAATAAATGAAACTGAATTCCTTCTCAACTAGAAACATAAAATTAACTAAACACTCCGTAAATCCTAAGTATGATCCTAAGCTCGTTACACGCAATACTTCATTGAATTCCCAAAATAACTGTATGAACCAAGTGCAATAATTATTCCCATTTCACAGATGAGAGAGTCATAGGCCAAGGAGGTTCAGTAAATTTCCTAAGACTGAGGATCCAGATTTCAAACTGGCAGGTGGATCTGAAGCCTGCTGTTACCATGCCACACTGCTTCTTGATTCTGGGAGTACTGGTGTAATTTTATCACAAAAATATTACTCTAATAATTTTAAGCAAGAATGACTGAAACAGTGGAACTAAGATAGAGTACTAAGATGGGTAAAAATCCTCCAGTTTTTGTTAATCTGGAATACAATTCAGAGTGATATTTTTGCAGCGTAAGTGCTCTTTTCGTGCTATCTATGCAGAAACGTGTGTGCATGACCATGCATGCATGTGAGCACGTGTTTGTGTATCATGAGAAAAACACAGAATCAGAGAGACAGAGGAAGGGAGAAAGAGATTTTAAAACATAAGATAAAGGGGGGCGCTTGGGTGGCTCAGTCGGTTAAGCGTCTGCCTTCAGCTCAGGTCATGATCCCAGGGTCCTGAGATCGAGCCCTGTGTCGGGCTCCTTGCTTAAGGGGAACCTGCTTCTCCCTCTCCTCCCAGCTCAGTGCTCTCTCTCTCTCTTTCTAATAAATAAATAAAATCTTAAAAAAAAGAAAAAATAAGATTAAAAAAAAACCCTCCTTGTATTAATTCTGGATTATACTAACTTGAATAGGTCACCAAGGTACCACAACATAACTTCTAACAGCTATTCTGAGAGAGATTTATAAAGCTATCTGTCTCATCTCTGCTTTCTTTCCAATTTACTCAGTGTGGAAAATAACACTGGCCTTCCAAAACCTTAACTTATGTTTGGACCTCTTCCATATGAGTCTGACTCTAGTGTTGCTGACCATTAAAATGAATATTTCAGTGGGGCTGGAACAGTCCTGTTAGCCCGAGCCAAGCTTTATATGGCTTGCACACTTTAAGAGGTTAATCTAGCAGTATTAAATGGAAAGACTATAACATTCAAAGAAAGGCAAAGTTCACTGAGTAAGACCCCAATAATATAATGGAGCATAAAACCTCTAGAATTTTTTACCATAATATTTTATGAAATATAGGTACACACTCACTGGAATAGAATCCAATACAAATGGTTCTGTAGGTCAATTCAAAGTCAGTACATACGCAGTATCTTTGGGAGAAATATGTACTATTTCAAAAGTACCTGGACCTAGACGCTTCCTTTCTCTATTTTATAGTTTATTATCAGTCTAGAAATATGCTATATTGGGGGGAAAAGTCACCTACCACAGTATAATATAATTTGGCACCAAAACAAAGTTCAATAAAATAGTACAAATTTCAGTATCAACAAATCCTTGTGTTGTGGAACAAAAAGAATCACAGAAGTTAATTCTAAAAGGAAGTGCTATTTTAAGTGTGGGTGATAAACATAAAAATTGAAACAATGATTTCATTCTCAACTTCACAACTAATTATGAAATCCTTTAATGTGCATTGTTGTGAAAGGAGCAAAAGACTCTCAATTCGTACATTTAAAAGAAAAGTGAATTAGGAATGGGCTTGATTAGAGCCACCTATTTGTATTATTCTGATGTTTCCTAAATGCTAGGAGCAACCATGATCCTCCTAAGGGGAAAGGAAGTAAAGGTCCACTTTGCATGACAAAGGTCAGATTTCTGCAGACAAATGAGACTTCTTTGATTGACTGTTCCTAGGTTATCACTGTCTGGCTGGGTCCTAGGAGGTCAAGAGAGGTTCCAAACTCTGCTCACTGCTTAAGGGACACCCCTGGGGCCACTTTAATCATTTTAAGATCATTACAACTTTTCTTATTCTGGTTCCAGCTTTACTCCCTTAAATCTTGTTAATACATATTGGCAAGTCAGTCCTGAGGTAGGTTAAAAAGAAATTGGAAGTATTTAGTAATATATGCAGATCGAAAGAGAGAATCCACTCATTTAACAACTTCTTTTAAATCTAAGACTGAGTTCAGTGAAATTCAAGTAGACCACAGAGGGTGATAATCAGGCCCCAGTAGGAAAGCTTGACTCTATTATAGCTGTCCTGGTATTTATACTATGTGATCAATGCCACTACTCTAGATTTCATTTAATATGATGTAGCTTTATACAAAAATTATCTTAGTTTCCCCAATCATTACATAGGTTTAACTGTAATTATGGTAATATTTTGTTTGCTTTTTTGTAATAGCTATTAAGTCATAAACATACAAGAAATGCTGAAGTAAAAATTATCACTTGACTGTATTTCAATGCTCTTCTATTTAGTGCAAATAACATGTATAAACTTTCTCACAGTGGACTGGAAATACATCAAATGGATCACATGGATAAAAGAAGAGTTCTGTTCTGCCTATTTGTAATTAATGAAGGATATCTCTTAAGTACTTTAGATAATGTATATAAAACATCTATATTTAATTATAACATCCTTCTTTTAGATGATGGGAATTGAATTAAGAAATATTTTGAAACCCCTATACAGATATAAAAGTATTAATGGCTGTTCAAGAATTTCATTAGTACAACACTTGAAAAAGTTTGGTTTCATTAATCAACGGCCTGACGCTTCATTAATATCAGATTTTCAATTTTATAAAGGGAATAACCTTAACATATTAGGCAAATACAGAAAATATAACACTAGCAAAGACAAGGGTTGGATCTTTTCACTATTGTTATATATCACACAGACACAGAAAATGTCTTTCATATTAGTACAGATTTGAATAAAATTTTATAACATATATAGTGAGCAGGATTTCTCTTTGAATTCTGTTGTGGACTGAGAATTTTTACAAGAATAAATTAACAGCTTGCTAGTCATTCCTTAGAGAGAAAAAAAAAATCCTGAACTGTTCTCATGGAAACTGGGACACAAAGTATGGGTTTTCAGTACTTGTTCTTAAGTATTGAAAAAGATCAGATTTTCATTCTGGATGCTTTACTGGTTCCAAATGCCACTTCTTTTCAAAGTCAGTGTCAGTTCTGCAGTCCGTTTTCAGTCTCCCAGTGGTAAGAATATATTCAAAGGCTGTGTGCACAGCAGGGCAAAAGTCTTTCTCCATGAATGTAACTATATCACTCATCAGTAACCTCCTGCCATAAAGGGGACTTATGTTTTCTTTCCTTTTAGTGACTCCTTGGGCTCTTGAATGCCAGTCACTGCCCGGAGACCTGGGGCAATATTCACATAATCTCTGTCAATAGTTCCTACATAAGCTACTGGTGCAACTTAACGTCAAGACAGCAGATCAAAGTCGGCGCATTCTAAAACTCATGTCCTTTATGGATCGATTTTCATAAACTATACTCTGTGTTTTAGAAATACATGGAAGCTCGCTCTTTGCTTTCTTCCTTTTATCCCAGCAAAGTTTATTTACGTGAAAGGCAATTTGATTTGTACATAATAGTGTGAAATTCTGATGCAATGCATAAATCTCATTCTCCCCTCCGCATAGCCCCCTGGAGGTATTTTACTTCTTATAGTATTTTACTACACCTATTGTCTTATAGTAGAAATGCAAAACTCCTTGGGCTATTAAAATAAAAAGGCAGAGATTGCTTTGCAATACTTCACCGTCCTACCCCAGTGCCTGGTACAAAAGATGGTAGGAAATAAGTTCTGACTTATGACAGATTTTATTTTTAAATCTTCATTATGCTATAGGTAAATTATGACAGACAATAGTTTAGCATGTGTTTTCACAGTATATTATATCCATTTTAATTATTCAAGATTGCTTGGGAAAATGAATATAATTATTGGAAAGCATTTTTGCTCTCTTGATTTCAAATACAAATTACATAGATCTAGTCTTCTTAAGTAGACCTGAGTAAAATACAATGGACCAAACTATCTTCTCTGAATACCTTTTCAGATCAGTTCTGGGTACAAAGATTTTAAAATTTACAGCTTTCTCTAAAAAAACTGTATTTGGAAAACATGAGATTTAGAATAGAATGTACACCAATGCTATTTATGCTTATATCTAGCTTAAATATATTTATCACAGAGGTAAGAGCATGTAACACATTAAATATGCACATATCAGAGGGCTGAAAAGGGAGAAGATGAGCAAACAAATACTAGCCACAGAGCCAGAAGGCATTTTGCTAAACTCCAAATAGAAGTTTCATTGTCCCAGTTCCCCTAAGCAAATTTTTATATAAAAATTACATGAGATCATTAGGTACAAAGCATCAGAGAGTTCTCCTGTAATCTGTGAGACATTAGGCAAGTCACTTAACTCAGAAGGTAGCCTTGGTCTTATCTGTTTTCACCACCTTACACAATTAAAATTTACGGGTTTTAAAATGTGTGAGGAAAAGAGAGTTTATTATTCCCATTTTTTGCAGTAAATGGCTGAGGCGGAAGAAAAATTTAGACAAATGGAGGAAATTACAGAGGACCTCATTAGTGGAGAAGATTTAAATTTTCGGAGAAACTGTATTTCTATTTTCCTTTTAATTCTACTCTTTCTTGCCAATAAGATAATAATTTGTTTCAAATCCAAATACGATGAACTTTTAAACTCAAAAAGGTCCTTTGATTATATCCTGGATCAACTGATGTTGAAATTGGGGGCCGTATGTGTGTGCGTGCACATGCGTGTTTATGTTAAGGGCAGGGGTGGAGAGGACCTAAGAGCTATGGTGCAAATCCTTTAGCTTTCCTCTAGAGGATGGCAAAGTGAAACTACAGGTACATTATGGAAGAGCAAGTGCAGTCTTGCTAAACCAACTTACCAGTTTTTCGAAGGGGGAAATCATCCTTCGCATCCTGTGCTCCTGGTAATGTGTATTTGTAGGATGGAGATGTTCCACTCAGGGGTGGAGAGCTTTGATCCAGTGACGTGTGGTGGGCAGCCCTACCGAAGAAAAAGAGGCTTCACCATTTGCTCTGGAGTTTTTACTGCGTGTTGGTCAGCAGTAATCAGTTGCACATGCTGTACACGTGCCTCAGCTGTGTTTATGTTCTTTCTTGCCCGTGTGCACAAACCACAGCCTCATGGAACCAAGTTCGCTTTAGCAATATGCTATAGAATGCTGCAGGATCCCCAAGAATGACCACTGTGTGTCTGGTCACTCACTTACACAGAAGTTTGCCTCACTAAAAGAGAATTAACCAAGAGCCTGAGTTTTGATCATCTGAGATTACTGTGGATGTTTTCTTATGCGCCATACTAGTGAAAAAGTCATCATCTGAACCCTTTTTAGTCAACGGGGTAGAATAGCTAGAGTAAAAGTAAACATATAGAAGGGACTTCATTTTCAAAAATAGCTAGGTTATACATAAAAGTACATGAGGGTGGCTTTTCTACCATAGTGACACCACCGTGTCAACAGCCTCAGATCTCCTGACTTGTATAGCACTTCCAAGGTAAAGGCTGGCAATCACATAATTCTTCAATATGGAACTGATTTTTAAAAATGTTTTGTCTTCCCTGAATAAATATAGTGAAAGAGATGGAGCTGTACTACCAGGGAAACATTTTCAGGGCTAACCATAGATTATCCAGTGGACATGAACGTCCACAATTACGATACGTGAAGAAAACAATGAACAGGGCATGGTATCACCACCAGGATGATAATTCTACCATTATCATTTATCTGAATCACACATTCTCAAAAATTAACTGGCTTAAGGGCACTTCATCTAGGCCTAACTGGCAAAAGAGTACTAAATTCGGATTCCATAAATTAATGATTTATGGTGTCTGGCGTCGGACCCTACTGAAGTTCAGTTCAGTACAAAAAAGGATTGCTAAGTAAATGTTTAATATACCCAAGGGGACAGCTAAAGAACTTTCAGCTGACATGCTGTTTGCATGTATTAGTTTCCCAATTAAAAAAGGTATTATGTCTTCTTAAAATGAGCTTTAACTTAGAAGGAATATAAATTAGTTATAAATTATGTATGCAATTTTAGGTAATAAAGCGGTATTTATTTCTAAACACCCTGTGATGTTAACTGAGCATTTGAAAATTTTCTTCAGGGACTGGCTTCTCAAGTCAACTGACATGCCTGATAGAAATTACGTAAACCATTAAAAAGTATTTATATGGCACTCTGGAATCTGCCTCAGTTATTCTTTTTTTGGATGCTGAGAAGGGCAGATACTTTTAAAACAGAATTAGAAGTATAATAATTCTTTAAATAGAAGTCTTGGGATGCTTACAGTTTCAATATAGAGTAATCAAGTATGTATTCCCTTATCCTTGATGATACGAGGAATCAAAAAAAACCTGTAAGTGTAAAATCTGATGGCCATTCAGTAAACATATAAAATGAGAGAAATGAAACTATTCTCTATTAAGCCTATTATCCAAACATTTGCCTATCAGTGTTTGTCCTGATTTTTAAAAACACCACATTCCTTCCTATTTTCCTGAGACGAGAATTGTGTATCTCATAGTTCTCTTCACTGGACCTGGGGAAACATGGTTCCGGACGGACATCTGTAAAAGCAGAGTGTCTGATGTTGTCAGCTTGTGTGTGAGAAGTCAGTGTGCTCGGCTCACAGTGTAGCAAGAATTGAAGTCAGATCGTCAGGGGTAAACTTGTCACGGAAGACTCAGCTTTACTTCCTTGCCTCCGTTCTCTTTCTCTTCCCTCCCTTGTCTTCCTGCTTTTTTTTTTTTTCTTTAAGTCGAAAAGCTTCTGGTCTTTTAAAAATAGCTCAGATCTCCACCTTCTATCGAGCCAAGTAAAATAAAGTCTCAACCTGCCAAATCTTCAGAAATTATTGTAAAGATATCAGATGCACCATCTGAGAATAAAAAATGCAAAATAGGAACTAATTTCTCTGCCCCACCCCACATTTCTGTTATTCATTCACCAAAAAACATATCTACTTCCTTGCCCTCGAGAGGATACTTGCTAACATTTATTAAGTGCTGCTCTCTGTTGCATACTTGACCACATTATTTCCTAGGACCTTTCCAGCAACCCTGGAGGGCAGGTACTATCATTATGGTCTTTTCACAGAGAAGGACGAGAATTCAAGGAGCTTGTCCACGGCCACATAGCTGAGAACTGGCAGACCCCAGTCCTGTGCCCAGGCTGACCGAGTACAGAACCTGTGTTCTTGACCCCTAGGAATGAAAAAGGCCAAACACTGAACATACGTGTACCAGAGCTTGGGATGGCGGCTCACGGAATGATTTTTTCCATTTGTTGGAGTGTCTTTTGTTGCTGATTTACTCAATAGGAATTCTTGAAGCTTCTGTTTTACTTCTGTACTTGCCACTGCCCCTGAAACACACACATACAGAAACAGATGTTGATTTGGGGCTTTGTCCTTTTATGCCTCGGGAGTATTTAGCAAAAATTAAGAAGTATCACCACTGGTCACTGCATATGAGGCTTTCCTATTAAAAGAAATCAGAGTCTAAACAGGATTTTGAAAACGGCATAGTAATGTTTTGTAACTACTGCTCAAACCGCTAATTTTCAAAGGACCTTTGATGATTTCTTTAATTGCCTCTGCAGAATAGGGAGTCCCAGAATTAACACTAATTTTTTCCTAAGGTTAAAAAAAATGAGGAGTAAAACAATGCCTTTTAAAAATCAAGAGTCTTAGGGGACGGGGACCACAATACAATGATCTTTCCTGAATTGCTAGTTTGAAAAACTCACGTTTTAAAAAACTCTTTTGAGCATTAAACAAATAAATATCACTGACAGTTCCAGTTCAAGTCATCTGATTTTAAACCATGCTACATCCTGATTTTGAACTGACCTCAGACAGGGAATTATTTGGATCTGTCTCCCTCTTGTGGATAGTTTTTTTTAACAAATGTTCTGCCTTCAACCTTCCCAAAGTCTGGGTACTCAAAAACTAGATGGAGGCTTGACTTACAGAGCAATTATTACTTGAGCAGGAGAAAGGTATAGTGGGGAAATGTGGAAGCAAGTTTATTAATAAAACAATAGGGCGGGGCACCTGGGTGGCTCAGTCGTTGAGCGTCTGCCTTCAGCTCAGGTCATGATCTCAGGGTCCTGGGATCGAGCCCCACATCAGGCTCCCTGCTCAGCAGGAAGCCTGCTTCTCCCTCTCCCACTCCCCCTGTTTGTGTTCCCTCTCTCGCTGTCTCTCTCTCTGTCAAATAAATAAATAAAATCATTAAAAAAAAAACAACACAATAGGGCATGGCTAGGTTGCTTTAGTAGAACGTTTTTAAGGTTCAAAACAAGAGAAATCGGTATCCTTGCCCAAAAATGCTGTTTACTTCCTGAGACACTGCAGACCGAATGCAGAGAGAGGAGATGTGAATGTCAAAGCTTTACATTGGGGTCCATAATTTACTCTTTTAACTAAACGCAGACAGTTTTGACAAGTTTGAACCCGCTCCTTATCAGGCTTCTTCCTGAATGACGACCAGCTGAACATGAGGGAAGAGATCGATCTTTTACCCCTGGTGCCTCTTACTTTCTCGTCCTCTATCTTTGCCTCTGAGGGGAGGAAGCGGCTGGTCTCTGCGGTGCCTCTCTACTTCCTGTTCTTGCCTCTGCTGCTCCAGTTTCTGCTCCTTCTCTAGGAGTTCTTGCTGCTGTTTGATGGCTAGGAGTTCCTGTTGCAACTTGCGAGAAGAGAAAGACATGAGAGTGTGCAATTTCTTTAGGCTTCATTGTCATCACTGACCCAAATCAAACTCTTAGGAGCTTCTGGAACTTGTTTCTGTTTCGTTTACATTTTTACTCACTTTTTGGGTAAATTACTGGAATCTCAACACAAACAACTAACTCCATAGACGGTCTTCAGATCATCAATCAGCACGTTTTTAGGGTAGCTTCATCACCCGTGCTGCCCCACCAAAAGTCAGTACCAAATTTGCTCTAATCTTCAGTTCCCTGAGTAGCGTCTCTTTGTACATGTGAAATATAAGAAACAGGCAACGGCAAGAATGGCCCAGAAGTGTGTTCTATCGAGTCCCTCCGGTGATAAATAAACAACTGAAACCTTCATTTATTATCCTGAGAAATGGTATGAAAGTAATCAAACCGAAGGAATGGTGAGAAATGAGTTAATTTGGGGGAAGTCTACCTGAAACAGAATGAATGTTAAACATTTCAAAACCTGGGGCACCTGGGTGGCTCAGTCGTTAAGCGTCTGCCTTCAGCTCAGGTCATGACCCCGGGGTCCTGGGATCGAGCACCAAGTCAGGCTCTCTGCTCAGCGGAGAGTCTGCTTCTCCCTCTGCCCTCCCCCTGCTCGTTTCTCTCTCTCTCAAATAAATAAATAAAATCTTTTTAAAAACCTTCAAAACCTTCAGAAAATGTTCTCAGATTAACGTATCTATACATCCATAGTAGGCTTTTCTCTCATTAGAGCAGAAGCGTACTTCATTCATCCAGCAGGCAAAAACCTTCAGATTAGAGATGGGTCAAACAAAATCATTTCCATTAAACTACTGTCAGGCTGTCTGAATCCCTTGACTTCACTTCCAAACAATAAGTAACATGAACATGAAGGATTCTTAATAACCGTGTTGACATGTCCGTTTTCTCTCGGATGGAGAAACAGGTACCTATGAATAATAGTAAATGTGCTCCCTGCGGAGTAACTAAAGATTTTGAGTCCTACTTAGGCTCTGCTATTACTAGATATGAAATCTAGGCATCTTACTAAACTATTCAAAGCCCTGGCTCCTCATATGTAAGAGAAATAATCTCCGTCAAACATCATGTTCAGAATGCACATGAAATTTAGTTTGTAAGTTTGAACCATACTGATTTCAATTATTATTACTATTTTCAGATCTCAGTCCTAATGAAGTTGGTGTAATTTGCTGTTTATATTAGATAGATACCTAAAACTCTGAAATTTATGCTGAAAAGTCCGAGAACGAAAACAAAAAGCTTTGTGGACTGGTATCAGTGTTACTCTGGAGGGAAAGGAAGCCAACTTCACATGCCAACCGTGACAGCCTCACCTCTCCCAGAAGGATATGGTTAGAAGCATTTCTGGTTATTCTTCATATTAAAATCTTTGGCATTTTGGCCTTGATATATCAATCCCTTATTGGAATACTTTAGATACTCCATTGTAAAAGAAAACTTTATAACTTCACTTAAACTCTGCCTTAAATATTAATTCTATACAGTTACTGGGATTGGTGAAATTGATTTCAACCAAAGCCCCAGTGAAATTGAAATTTAATCTATCTTAGGAATCTACAAAAGCACACAATTCAATTTCCATAGCTACTATTCATTATTGAAGACTGCAGGAATGACACTGAATAAAAAGAGAAAGAAACAAAACACCAATTGCCCAGTTTCAGATGTTCTGATACATGACACAGGGAGCGATGATGTGGTAATTTTGATGGCAGACAAGGCAAGACTACAAAACCTGGAACAACCATTTACTGGTGTGTGGTCTTGGGTAAGTTTCAGTATGTCTCTCTGCCTCAGCTTACTAGGTAGAAAGATGGGATAACAACATCTAACTCAACAGATGTTGATTACAGAAGCCAAAGATTCATGATGTTAATATAAGTAAAGTTTCATGTACTGTGTGTTCCTCATAAACATAAAATCCAAATGAATGTTGAAAGCATCAATTCAGCCTTTCCCATAAAAAATGCTGAGTAAAATGAAACAAAAAATTTAAAAAGTAAAAAGTTTCCTAAACTTAAAAGGAAATGTAAGGGAGGCCTTTAGTTTCTGAGAAAAACAGCTTATTACTTTGGAAAATCATTTCAAAAACTAAATTTTCCTTTGAGCTATCTCAGAATCTTTTTTCTGTCAAGAGCCTCCTCTTTTCCTCTATTGTCCAGATGTCAGTAAACCTACTGTATTACTTTGTTTGAGCTAAAGTAACAGTTAATTACCTACTTGCTACTATTAACTTGTGAATAAAATAAAACAATACATTACATCAAAAATTTTTATATTGATCTTTACAACTACAAAAGGTATCAAACATAAATGAAGAGAAGTATTTAAAGCAGTAATGTATTACTATTGCCCTGTATTCAATGCAACATGAATCAGTTACCACAGCAAAATGAACTATTATAGTTACTTTTAAATGTGTGGTGAAGAATATGAATTTTATTCATTCATCACTGTCATTCTCACATGCCAAGAATGAATGGAGAAGGAAATCTAAACATCAATGTTCCTGGTATTTTTTCAAGGGTCCAATAATAATGCTTTAAAAATAAGTCTATAAACTAAATTAAGGTTTCCTATTCTACAAAATACAGCCATGAGCTACTGGTTCTATATGAGACCCAAAACAAAATCCCCACTCTTAGTTTTAAGGTATCTTATAAGACTAATAAATTGCAAGAGTTCTTTTAGGAAAGTTCCCTAAAGAAGAAAACTATGATGTTTTATATCAGATGTCAAGCCTTTTTTGGAAAAGAAGATAGAAGAGGCCTTTCAGGTTAAGGAAGTGTATCTTAAAAAAGAAAGGACATAGGGAAGAACATACAGCATTTTTACCTTCTCAGACACTAATATTAGTGTGGTAGAATTTTATAATATTAACATAGATTAGTTATCTATATTAATCTGACATAAATGTGCTTGTATTTGATATGCAAGTGAGTCATAAATCAAGTATCTAGAACCTGTAATTTATTGCATTAGTAAATTAACATGTATTTACATCATTTTGAGGGATATAGACATAAAAATGGAATTTTATTATAAGTATTTGCTGATTTATATTACTGTCATAATAAATTCAAACTAAACATCTACTTAATCAGACCCAAATAGCTTTGCTTTAAATGTCTTTGTCAAGAATTTGAAAGACAATTTCACAAAAAAAGCTGAAGTGATATTTATCTTAAAGATACAAAAAGAAATAGATACACAGATACACCTAAAATGACTTGATAACAAAATAGTCTATCATAAAAAATTCTGGGACATGAATATATTTCTCCTAGAAAAATTTACCCAACTTGGGTCTCAAACTGTCAACTACTCCCAAAATTCTTTCAATAAATTCTTATCTGCAGTCTATTAAACTTACATAAAAATATTAAAAACATTTACATCAGTTTCTTCATATAGAATTCTCTTGAGCTTTTTATGTTATTATTTTAAATGTATACATTATGAGGCCTTCTTCATGGGGAAAATTAGAATATATTCAGAACATCTACTTACAGGGAGGTGGGTGGGGGATGGGGGAAATAGGTGATGGGGATGAAGGATAGCGATCGTTGTGATGAGCACGGGGTGATGTACGGAAGCGCTGAATCCCTGTATTGTCCTACCTGAAACTTGTATTACGCTGTCTGTTAAATAACTGGAATTTAAATAAGAACTTAAAAATCCCCTTATAAACCAAAAACAAAGCAAAAAGGCTCTTTATTTATTGTTTCTGATAAATAGTTTATGCAGATTCTTTAAAAGTATCAAATGGATCTTCCCCGGCTCATGGTTCTTCTTGGTGTAGAGAATAGATGGGGCCAATGAACAAAATCATGTAGAAGACAAACTCAACAGAGGTTGGAAAGTTACTATTCCCTACGGTTGATGCTGTAAAACTAATGGATGAGAGTGGTAGAGGCCCCTCCAAGAGCAAAGCTGAGTTTTAGTCAGCATTCTTACTACTTACCCAAGGTTTTCACCAGTAAAATCACAATTTCCTCCAGGTCATACTTCCAGGTCTTAATCACAGTGAACCACACAGCCCCCCGCCCACAATGTTCCTTCTTATGCCCATGTCCTGTTGCAGGCTTCCTGAGTGAAAAGGTCAGAGGCAAGGAAATATTTGCTACCTTGATGTGCTCCTGGAGCTGAGCCTGGTGCTGTCGTGTCAAGTTTTCATGCTGTTTCTGAAACTCGGCAATCAGGAGCTGCTTCTGGATTTGCTGCTGTTGCTGGATGAGGAGTAATTCTTGCTGTAGTTGCTTCTCGCGGACAACAGGATCCACCACGGGCATCATCATCCTGAGGTCTGTCCTTAGGTCTAAAGGTGAGATGGGCTCTAGGCCCACAGGAACTTCTGACTTCACATCCACTAGAGAAACAGGAGGAAAAAAAAAAGGGGTGGGGAGGGGGGCATGACAGAGGATAGGAACTTAGTACATTGATTTGGAAACAAACAAAAATTAAAAGACTAGATTCTACCCTATACAACAAATTTTATGTCAACAAGTATAGTCCTTTTTTACAACGATGATAAAAGGTCTTTAGGGTATCAGTTTTGGTAAAATGGGCTCTATGCTAATTTTCACCCAGCAACCCCCTTTCATGAGTCTTCTAAATTTTTCTTTTCAAAGAGATGAATCCTGCCTCCTCCTGCCCGCCCCCCCAAAAAATAAAAACCAAAAAATCACAGAGAGATGAATCCAATTATTTTCTGGTATCAAAGTCATTCATAAAACTTACTCTACTGGACCACGAGTCAGGTCAACTTAGGACAAAAAATGGTACTTTATTGAAGAAAAGATGCCAGGTTATACAGAGAAACTTCTTTCACAACTCAATTTCCACACTTGCAAGCATGTTAGTTTGTAATCAGAGTCAGAAGGTATATTCTAAGATATATTCCTCAAGAATTAAGGAATTCCTTAAGATTTAAAGCTTTCAACAATGTATCTGCAGGGCTGTTGGACCTGGCAAAGAAAAAGTACAAATCTGCATACTAAAATGTTGAAAATGCTAAGTAGATTAGTTAATCAACCACAACAATGGTGCCAGGTCTAAACAAGAAGGAGTGAAAGTCGCCAGTCTCTATGTGCTGTTTTTTCAATGATGATAATCTATATTTCAGTTATCTTATTCCTAAAACGAGAAAGGCTCATAAATAGTGAGGAAGCTTAAAACAAATCAAACCACTAGAGGAACAAAGACTGGATGAGAATAATTAATTTGACAAGAATAATTATAGGATATTTAAATTTTAAAAAATTAGATAACGTATATAAAATTCTTAGCACTACTTTTGTCAGATAATTTGTAGGACAGTATAAGAACTAAAGTTCATAGACAAGGTAGATAGGCAGTAACAACATGGAGTTGTTAAAAGAATTAAACGGGATAATCCACTCCAAGGACTTATACAGAACATTTCTCAATAAATGCCCCGGGTTTTTTAATTATATAAAAATGGAATTTTCCTGTGTATGAAAATAAATCAACACTGTGTGGCTAACAAAACAAAAATATTAAGAGCAAGTATGCAAATAAAATTGTGTGAGATTTCCACTTAATACTAGGAAATAAAAACACTAAAACTTCTAAAAAAATGGAAAAAGAAAAAAGAAAATAAAGGAATATAAATAAACAATTTTTTTTTTGAAGATTTTATTATTTATTTATTTGCCAGAGAGTGAGAGAGAGGGAGCGCACACAAGCAGGGGAAGCGGCAGAAAGAGAGAGAAGCAGGCTCCTTGCTTTGCAAGGAGCCCGATGTGGGGGCTCAATCTCAGGACCCTGACCTGAGCCGAAGGCAGACGCTTAACGACTGAACCACCCAGGCTTCCCTAAATGAACTATTTTTAAAAATTTACCTTTACTAGTAAAGAAATGCAAATTTTAAGTCAAAGTAAGGCATCATTTTCCAAACATTAAGTATCATCTATATGATTCATGTATATGCATATGTGTGTATAATGCCCCATTGTGTGGTGTAAGCATATGACCAAGTAGATAATTATATATTGCAAGTGGTACTACCAAATGGTTAAGACTTCTGAAAAACAATTTGGTGATATGTAAGAAAAATCATTAAATATTCTACCATTTGATTCAGGTTTGCCAACTGTAAGAATATATCTTAAGGAGACAATAGTAACAGGAAAATACAGTTCAATCTCATACTGTTTGCTGAAGTATTATCATTTTAAATGAAATCCACCAACTACAAGGAATTGTCTAAGTAAAATATGTCACAACCATATGGTGGAAAAACACACAATCATTAAAAGTAATGTTTATGGGAACATGAAGAATGCTATTATAACATTAAGTGAAAAAACAGTAATAAAAGTGACATATACCCTCTGATAACTCTTTAAATAAATGTAACTTAAGTCAATATACATTTACTGAGAATCTTAAATTCCAAGGTTTGATTCTAGATGTTGGGTTCGGTAGGAAAGCAAAAGAAACAAAAATTTCAGCCCTCTTAGAGCATATAGTCTAGTGCGTTTTTGATTGTATTAGTCTCTGAATTCTTGTAGTAAAGACTGGTGAGATACAGAACAGAAGACAGTTGTATTTAGGGTGGAAATAGAAATAATTTTCCCCATCTTACTTTTCTGTATTTTTCCAAATTGCATTTAATGCTCTGACTACCTACTCTAAGTAACTTAGATTTGTAAACTCCAGGTTGGGAGCTACAAAGTTAATTTTCCATGTGGATCTAAGAGCTATTTTCAGTGAGTCGAGAAAGGCTAACCGAAATCTTGTCTGTAGAAGTTAAGGCTGCAAATACTAAATAAAACATTAATGTCCTAACTTATCACTTGAATTGTGTGTGCGTACAAGGCACGTGGTATGCACCTGTGGGTGGGGTGGGGAGGGGGGCTGGTATCAATCCTAGTTGCTAACGCTGGTCACTTTTCAATGTATTGATCAGAAGCTTGCATTGATAGTACTACCCATGTCACTTTAATGAAAATGGTAAAACAATTTATTAAAAAAACATAGTTTGGTGGACAGTGTCTTCCAAAACACTGATATTTATGAAAGGAGAGATAGTAATTGTGACAAGTTTGGGATTAAATGAGGATGATGGCCTGTAAGATTTCTTAGTTGCAATGTCTGATGTAGAACTTTGAATCAAGACTCTGGAGTAACATGAGATTTTGAGCATTAATTTATAGAGTTGGCAAAATTCCAACCAAAAGCAATGACTGTTAATGATGTATTTCATTTTTGCATTAAAAAGGCCAAACTACAGCCCCCAGTGTTTACATGGAAATCCCAAAAAACAAAGGTCAGAATTTAACCCTATAAAGACACAATGTAGAATTTTCAGGAGACCCTGGGGTCTCTTCTTGTTGGCATTCTTATCATCCATAAACCGTGAACATCAAATCCCTAAAAAACCCCTCCCCACAAAACAAGATAAGGGGGGAAAAGTCCCAGAACTCTCCAAAACAGCTATTGTAAACCTCAAAGGGTAATTTGACTTCTTAACCTGCTATCCCAACAGAAATGATTGTGTCTAACTGCTTGCCTTTGTTCAGAGACTAATCACTAAATTGTGAAAAATCACCCTCAACTTACAAAAACTGCTCTTGATTATAAATAATTGCCCAAGACTGAGAGAAAGTGGCAAGCAAGATCCCAGTCTTTCATCCAATTTATTCAGCAGCAATCCACATTCCATTTGTCTAGACTAAATATAGCAGCGTTTATACAAGAAATCAATAGTGCTTGCAGAGAGGAGAGCAAAGGCATGAATATTTCATCAAACTCAGAGAGAAATGGCAATCAGCAAACTGATGGTTCTGTGTAGGTCATCTTTGGCCTGCTGGATTAGTTCTGTTACATGGACAATAGCTCATCTCTGGCTAATCATAATCGTATCATAACCATTCTTTCTATTTTTAACATTAGTTGCATTGTGGGTGGCAAAGACTCTTCGTATTCCAAAAGAAGTGATGGATTTTTCTTACAGCATCTGTGACAGGCTAATAAGCCTCCCCAGGAGCAGTAATAGTAACACAAGACCAGGGCTAAGTTTCAACAAGTTACAGTCACTTTCATATCACAGAATGTGAAAGAAAGGGCATTGTCCACAGCTGCTGTATTATCGTAATTAGAAATAATCAACTTACAAGAAAAAATTTACAACCAATTTTAACAGCAAGGAAATGGAATCATCTCTACTCATAACATCTCTTGTCTAGGAACATGCAAATTCCTTATAAATTACTTAGAACAGGTGCCAGGGATACATAAGTTAGAAAGAAGTTGATGCAAACAAATTGTAGTTATTAGTAGCACTAGTTATAAACAAATCATGTTTTCTTAACAGATCTCAATTACTTTAGCTCGAGACCTCATTACTTTATTTGGACTCACTATGTTTGTCTGAGATTTCAACTATATGCCAACACATATATATGTGATATTTATATTGTCATTCTAATACCAAATTCCCAGTCAGAACATTTCCAAATATACATTAACTAGTCTTATTAATTATCACTTTACAAAGCCCTGTTCATTCCTTCTCCAGTGTCTTTCTTAATTGTTTCTTGGATAGTTATGTCTTCTTCTGTTTAGCATTAATCAACTCATGCAATTTTGTTTGGGAAATAGTTTTTAGTTTTTAATGAACATGGAAACAAAAATCTCCCATTTCAAAATAAAAATCTCAAATCATATAGATGTGTATAATAATCACACCTATATAAGCAACACACATGCCCTGTTTATAGTTGTAACTTAATTTCTTCAACACATTTTTAAAAATATTTTTTAAAGTGTTAATTCAGAGTTTGAAGGATAACTTAGTCACCATGGAGTGTTTAAGTCTTCATTTTAGATACTGTTATTTATAGCACAGTTAAGTAGGGAGAACTTTCGTATGTTTTAAGACCAGAAATCTTTGGTTGCTCTTTGTCAGCTGACCTACAAACAAGAATCCATTCTTTTTAAGACTGTTTTAAGTGAACAACTGGCAAACCCCACGGATGGAAAAATTCTGAGGATGCACAATTTTGACCATTTACAACTATCACAACTATGGCTGAAGACCGTTCATGCCGCTCCTCTGAAATGAAATCCCAAAGCAGTAGAGTGCAAACTACAGATTTTCACAAGCAATTGGCACAGACACAATCTCACCACCATTTGTATGTGTCAACTCAGCTACAAATTAAAACTTGAGAAAATGCAATAAAAACCAGGACCATGTTTATCTCCATTAATATTCATAGTTACAGCAGCTACAACTCGGGGTGGAGCATCACCAATGCTGCCCAGAGCCAGTTTACATGGAAATTAAGTTCTTTATACCAAGGAAAGGATTGTCCACAACCAATGGCAAGTGGACATACG